GATGTACTGTTAATGCTTGTTACATAGGGTGTGACAATTATAATGGTTTATGTACAAAAGATTTTGGCATGCATGACAAGGCTGAATAAATAGCTACTTTACTTAAAAATAACACCCTTGAGGGAGGATCACAAGTAAAATTTTAAAGATGATAATATGTAAGTCTTGTCTCTAGTTTTTAACAGTAAAAAGAACATATTTTGTAGTAAGGTTCTTCAAATTTTATCTATTTATAAGTTTCATCTATTTTTTTTGTTTCATAACAAAAAGATCGCGCGCGCGTGTGTGTGTGTGTGTGTGTATATATATTCTTGAGTGAAAAAAATTCACTATCAATCAGGTGTAAGCTGTGTGGTCCTTTTGATTTCATAATTAGGTGTACACTTTGATTTAATTAACAATCAGGTGTAAAACAAGTTGTGGGCTAGAAGCCTCTTGTTTAAACCAATAGGACCCAGTGGAACTGATTTACTATTAGATTTATAAACTAAATTGTCAGTTTTGTCTGGGGAGAATACTGTTCTAATTGGTATAGTACTCAGTTTGTTGTACTGAGGTAACTTGTGGGTTGCTGTGATACTGAAAGCTGTGCCACTGGTGTGTCAAATGCCACAAGGGTTACCCATGGTGGACAGGTTGTAGTAGAGCTCCCAGATTATGAAAGACACATCAGAGAGTTGGACAATGTCTAGGGATGACAGAAAGAGAATTGATGCCTTTGAGCTGTGGTACTGAAGAAGATTGTTGAATATATCATGGACTGCTAGGAGAACTTAACAGGTTCGTCCTGGAGAAGGTGAACCAGGCTGCTCCTCGGAGGCAAGGATTCTGAAGCTTCATCATGACATACTTTGGACATGTTACAAGGGGGATCAGTCCTTGGAGAGTGACATAATGCTTAGGAGGGTAGAGGGACAGTGCAGGAGAGGAAGACTCTCGATGAGATGGACTAATTCCATCACAGGGGCAATGGGGTTCGGTATGTCAGAGACAATAAGGTTGGCACAGGATAGAGCAGGCTTTAGGGCTTTTGTACAGAGGGTCACTATGAGTCACAAGCAACTCGACTACACATAACAACAACAACAACAATAGGAAGCAGGATTGGCCATCCACTTCTTAAATAACAGGCCTCTGAAAACCCTATAAAGGTGAAAGAAAGCCGATAGGTATATTAGTAGTGGTACAGCCCAGATTGGAAGTCAGCTGAAATGAGAAAAAATAATGGCAAACATTGCTTAATAATTGGAACATGTAATGTACATAGCTCAAATTTTTGAAAACTAGAACTTGTAAAAATTTACACCAACACTCTAGGCATTGGTGAGATGAAAATGGACTAGCTTTGGCCACTCTGAATAAGATAACCGTATAGTATGACGGGAATGAAAAACAGAAGAATGGTGTTTCATTCATAGCCAAAAAGTCAATTTCAAGTTCTGTCCTGAAGTTCCACGTTGTTGAAGGCTGGTAGTGAGGTCCTTATTCCTGATGGTAGCCTAATGGGATGGCAAAACTGACCAACCCCCTCCTTATGATGTCACATACCTTTTTTGCATGGTCGTATCTCTGGTGCCCTAGAGGTAGGAAGCTGCACAGACAACACAAAGGTTTTCAGTTCAAATCCACCAGCTTCTCCACGGGAAAAAGATAAGCAATCTCCCTCTATGTAATATATAGCCTATGAAAACCTGCTGGAGGGTCAGCTAGGGGTCAGCTCTGACTCAATGGCATGTAACAACAACAACAATCCACCTTACAGGGTTCCATGCATCTTATCTGAATTATTGCCTAGTTTTCTAATACCCCTTGTGGGCTACAGGTACCACTTTTGCATATTCCCAGCCAATCACTTGGTGGGAGTCATAAGACCATAGCTAGAAGTGCCTGAAACATGTTTTCTTACTTAAGCTTTGGGTATGTGTTGCCCTGGTCATTGTAACATGAGTAAAGGTCTTGGTTTAGTGTCATATTTCAGTTCTAGGACTCTATACTGTTGGCCTTGCCCAAAGTGGCCCCAAAGAGCAAGAGCAAACTCTGGTGTTAATCAATGGGCTTAGAGAGGCGCTGCCCTCACTCAGAGAGCTTGTCTGAAGCATTCATGGTGGTGTTACACAGGCTGGCTACGGAACCAGTAATGCGCCCTATATTCAACCTGCCTTCACCCCAAGTGTAGTCCTGACCGGTTCAGGGAACAATTTCTACTTAATAGGAAAACTCCTTGTAAACCTGCAATATTGCTTTGATAACCTTTACGCTTGACTTTCACTGTTTATTTTTACATTCATGGACATAATACTGTTATTCTCCAGAGATGTAGTAAATATTCCCTGCCTGCAGTAAGGACTTTAGGCTGTGTTCTCCAAAAAAGGAACCCAACTCCAGTGTGACCGCTATCCTGTCTGTAGTAGAAATTTTCATGGGACTTCTTTCTTTTCCTTACAATACCAGCACATTCTACTTTTTAGTCCTAATGTCATACGAAATATTATCCAGGCACCTCCAAAGTGTTAGTCCTCACAGTTCAGTCTCAATAACTGGATGGTTGTGGCAGTGTATGCTCTGCATTGATGCCAATACCATGTTATCCCCAACAGCTACCTGCTTGCGCTCATGAGACCAAGCCAAAGGGAATTGTGGACCTAGAGAAAGATAGCTGACTGAAATTCCTGGTAACCAAAGAAAGTTCAGGGAGCTCTGCTCTGGGAACTCAGGTCTTGACATAAACCAATGATCTTCCTCTGCAAGGCTCTTTCTAAACTTAGTTTGCTACTGGACATAACAAAGGGTCAAAGAGGCACACAGGGAGAGTTAATTCTCAAATTGCTGAGGAGTCTAACACCCACTCTGGGGTTCAGACATGCCTGATAGGTCTGTCCTCCAAGGCAAAGCCAGGAATCATTTCTCTGTTTGTAATTTCAAATGAATTCCACTCCCTGTCCCGATCCCCACCCCACCCCCAAACACACAAAATACACAACCTCTAATCTAGTCACTTCCAAAATTACTCTGATCAAAGACCAAAGATATTTTATGACAAACTCCCTCTGTTGCTCATTCACTATGATAAATAGGAAAAAGAGAGGAGGAATAAGGAAACATTTTTTTAGAAAAGGAACTTATGATGTTAGGTAATACAAAATTAAGGCTTCATCATACTAAAAAAACTCCACTGTCATCCAGTTGGAAATGACTCACTGAGTTTTCCAAAGTAGTTTTCTAGTCGCCCAGGAGGAAACCATTTCTCTTTCTCTTTCAGAGCCACTGGTGAATCTGAACTAACAAGAGGCATCAACTTTGTGTTATCAGGAAAACTCCCTACCCACCACAGCTCCCTAAGGAAACACTGTTGTTGTTAAATGCAACAAGTCAACTACAGCTCACAGTGACCCTGTGGACAATGGATCTGAACCTTGCCCTTTCTTGTGCCATCCTCATCATCTCTGTCCCACTCAAGCTTATTGTGGCAGTCACTGTGTCAATACATCTTGCTGACCTCATCCCAAAACAGAAGTAGAGAGAATATCAATCACATCACAAAGATACAGTTAGTGTGTGATCGTGGACCCGTATTAAGTCCTTACATGTATGAGCTATAATAAGCACCTTAACATCACTGTTAAAACTGAACAGATGGCTCTGGAAAAGGACAGGAACCTCTGGCTCACCTCTCCAGAACCCTGTTCTCACTTGTACAGCAAAAAAAAAATGAACTCTAGGCAGGATGTAGGCAACTTATTCTACATGGTGAGGCTAAACTTTTTAGGACAGTTTCAATTTGAAAATGTGCTACTGTTGCCACAGCCAAGCAAAGTGCCCTAGCACTACCAGCACATGGGCATCCTAACATTGTGCTCTAGGCTGCCTCTCACACTGGGCTAAGAGCCGATTTCTTAAGAGACTATGGAATAGTTGCAGAGGAAGAAGCCATCAATACAAGGTCCACACAGAGTAAACATGACTGAAGTCGATTTAGGCATCACTGCTGTGCTAGTTGTGTGTGGGCGTGCATGGACATACACATGTACACATATAACAATGTGCACATTTGTATGTGCACATTCAATCATGTACACCCATACAAACTCTCACAGATGTACACATGTGTATACACAAACTTTCCCTCACGCACACACCTCCCACTTACACTCAAAATGAAGAAGAAAGGCTGTAAAGTTTGGAGTTGGGTCATACTTTAGATCAGACAAAGTAGTAAGATTAAATGAGAATAAAAAGAAACTACAACATTTCACCTAATTGGTTTTTAGTATAGCCTCTGAGGAAATAGTAGTAAACACACATCTAGTTAAGATACATGCAAAAAATCAGCTCAATGGCAGAACAGGAAGAGCTCATGTCCCTTTCGTTCAGTGAGCAGCAGTGCAAGGAACACTGATCCCATGATGCAGAGTCCTTTAAGCTTACATGAAAATTAAGCTAAGATTACACTCAATGAGCAACATCAGATCAGTGGGAAATAAGAGGCAACTTTGGGAATAGAGTTCACAAACATCTGTATGTTTTCACACATAAATGCACACATACACACACTAGGGCCAGATCAAGCACTCATGCCCAACTATACCATGGATGTGTGCCAGCCGTGTCTAACACATCAGCTGAAGACCCAGAGAAAAGGTACTTTTTTCCTCCAAACCTCCACAGTGTTAGAATTGACCTTTCCTAACTGGCAAGTTATGCACACTCTCACACACTCCATCAGAGATGATTCTGACTCACAGGGACCCTCCATTAATAACCAAGGCCGTAAATCTGACAAGGCCTAAGTTCTTACCAGGCTTGAGTCGAAGAGACTTCTTGCCTCAATACTTACTCTTGCGTGTGATACCTGAAGAAGATGCCTCAAAGAGAAAACCTGGGTTTGAAGAGTCATCTTCACAAATAGCCATGAGTTCTCCAAAACACTTAAGACGCCCACAAAAAGGCTTCTGTGCTCACCCACACATCAGGGTGACCACCGTGAGAGGGAGAACACTTACCATCTCATCCAGGGCGTAGCGAAGAAGGCCATGCTCATAGAGGATGAAGAACCTCCGCTGCCATTTCTGGAATGGAGCACAGAGTGTATGGTTAAGAGGATTGTGGCCCCAGATTTTGGCCTGTTGAGTTTCCATGACTGACTAACCCATGACTCAGAGGCAACAGCTGAACAGCTTCCATTTCTAGGACAGGTGGCAGGAAAAGAGGAGCTCAAGATCTAAGAATCATGACTAGTTGGCCAACACTGGACTGGAAGGAGAGCCAACCACTCGGTGTTTTTACATACATTATCTGATATAACAAGAAGTGCTTACCCATCCCATTTTAATTTGTAATATCCTTGAGAGTAAAATCAATCAATGACTCAGAAGTCTTTCAAACTCCTTATGGTATACAGAGGAGTCCTTAGATAGTGCAAATAGTTAAGCAGGTGGCTACAAACCAAAACGGTTGACAGTGTAAATCTATCCAGAGGCACATCTAAAGAAAAGGCTCATGATCTGCTTTTGAAAGGTCAGAGGCACAGAAAACTTTAAGAAACACAGTCCAGCTCTGTATACATCAGTTGTCAAGAGTGGTAACTGACTTTATTACAACAATCTGGGACAAGTGTTGCATTGCAAGGAGGGATGGGTGAATAAAATGTACAACAATGAAAAAAAAATTAAAAGATTTTTGATGTTTTTTTAAAAAAAAAGAGTTGGCATTGCCTATGACAAATGGTCTTCCTGATAGTTAATACAGTTTATCACATGGCATGTAGTAAAATCTAATGAAATTAGACATGATTATGTGATAATCCAAGGCACTGTTGCAGCTCTTCTTAAAAAAACCCTGAGAAACTCCTATAAGGAAATTTTCCAGAAGATCAATGATGTGGTGGCACATTTTTAAAAAAATCTGAAAACTCATTGCTATTGAGTGGGAATGGACTTATACCTGAACCTACAGTGGATTTTTATAGACTGCAAATCATATGGGAGAAGAATGACTGTCTGTAGCTGGTGGATTCAAATGGCCTCCCTTTGGGATGGCAGCACAACTTCTCATCCCCTATACCATCAGAGATGGCACACTAATGGCAAAATTACACTCAGGCTCCAGGGTTCACTAATTCTGAAGAAGCTAAAAAATATTTTTAAGCAGCAGGAGCCTTAGGCAGTAGATACTGAACTTAATACTCAGGGTGTAGAGGGCACGCCCCCTGCCTACACTATAGCCAATATCATGTCCAAGGAGAATGTCAAATGTGGTCACATGCTGATGTCGAAAGGATTGTAAGAGGACACAGCTTACTCTTTGTAGAAAGGAGGGCTCATCCACAATGAGAGACTGCTAGTCACAAGCAATGACTGGCACACACAGCTACTTGAAAATCCCAGAGGCAGAATGAGGACCTAAGACCCATTTTCAACATTTCACAAAGCTCAACAAAATATATACTTTTACTGGTGATAAGGCCCCTAGAAAGAACTAAAGTATCTTTCTATTTGGTTGGGTCAGAATTTTATCTTTTTTAGCAAGGATCTTCCCAGTAAAAGTTGAAATGGAAACTCTGTTAGACAGTAACATTAAGACAGTGAAATATGTTTTTCTCTGGCAGCTGCAGCCTGAGGGGCAACACTGTGGTTCTTGTTCTCCCCACACAGCGAGTTGCACAAGTAGGGGCATTCACAAGCCTGCACAGAACCTGTTAGAGAACTATTTCCAATCTGGTGTCAAGGGAGAGGCCACTTGGACAGCTTCCGAGAAACATTTCTAAGGCTCCTATGTGTTGTGCTTGAAATCAAAACCCATTAAAAAAGGAATCCCAAAAACACAATGCAAAGTCTGTGGGATAGCCTATGAAGCACCACTGCCCACCCCAAGCATTTGATGTTAGGCTGCTGGGGGTAGTAGAGGCACTGGAGGGGAAGGGAATAGGCCAGCTGGGGTCCTGTGGGTGATATGAAGCAGATCCCAGAAGAAAGTACATGAGAAAGAAAAGATGGGCTCTGAAATGGGACAAAGATCCCCAAAAAGCTTCTTGACAAACTCAGCCAGCAAAGACCTGAGTGCTCCCAGCATCCTGTGCTGGTGAGGTCCTCACCGTGGGGCTGCCCTGGAGAGTGCCTACACCTACCTCAGGGAGAAAAAAAGACTCAAAAGGGAAAGAAAGTGCCCCATTTTGTTCCCCAGTGCTGAGCCCTGGATGGGGAGGGAACAGAAGGCAGGGCCTCAGAGAAGGAAGGAGGAACCTAATTAGCATACTTTAAAAAAATTCACCGAATGCCTTTTCGCCTTTTCCATTTTACTGTTTTCAGGGTCAAACTGGCAAACAGACAGTAGCCATGTGAAGGCATATCATCTAGAAGGACTATGTACAGTTGAGATTCCCTAACCCCACCCCTAGGGATCAATAAGTATGCCCAACAAGAGGTTTCTCATCTTGTTATTCAGGATTACTGCAAGCCTCCACCAACCGCTTCTGTTCTCACATTTGACTCTTAGAAGGGCCCCTTCCACTGGCTCCCCCACCCTCAAATCTTCACACCAAGAATTTTCTCTGGCTCTCATACCCGAGACCGGTGCACAGGGTTGTCAAAGTCAGTCCCATCAGGAGCCAGGAGCAGCCAGCCACCATAGATGGGTTTTGCCTGAGGAGGAAAAAAAAGAAGGACATGTTATCAGTGGCCTTGGACCAGAGGAAAAAAAGGACAGGTTCACTGAAACAGAGGTCACTTCTGCATGGCTGATCACAAGCATCTCATACCTTGAATCTCCAGGGAAATATTGGAGAGGAGGTGGTTCACTGAAAATTCTATAGCACCTGAAGCTGTTTCCTTTTTAGGTACAAAGAAATGCACAACCCTTCTGCAGTCCAAAAAATAGCAACCTATGCATACTGCCGTCACATCAATGCCGATTCAGGACAATTCTCCTTTAGGTTTCTGAGGTTATAAATCTTGACAGGAAGAGAGAATCCACCCTTCATCAAAGTGTGCTTGGTGAATCTGAACCATCAACTTTTCAGTTAGCAGCGCAACCTGCTCCACACTATGCCACAGGGCTCCTTTCTCGAGGGCCTGGGAAATGAAACAGTCTGAGGCTGTAAATCTTAACAGGAGGAGACACAGTCTAGGTATCACATGCATAGCTAGTAATTGGAAAGACTGGCCTGAATCAAATGCACTTTAGTCCTCAAACTTACATCAATCACTACCTCCTCAATAATTTGGAAAGGTCCCTAACTCACTGCAGCTGACTGCTGGTACCAAGAGTATTAACTGTGGATCCAAGGAAGATGCTGCTGCTGACAGTTTCAATCTCCTCTCCCATCCATCATGACACAGCCTATTGGTCCAGTGGTAAGATCTTTATTTTCTTGATGTGGAGACACAATCCATACTGAAGGCTGCATTCTTTGATCTTCTAAAACAAGTGGCCCTCAGGCCTGCACTTGATTGTGTTCAGTGATAATATTGTTCAAAGTCATGTAGCACTTGTCTGTCAATTTGCTGTACCTGTGATTACTGGTGTGTGAAATTCCAAAAGCATTTCCCATCAGGAACGGGTTTTGGTGGAGTTCCCTGTTTAAGACAGACTAGAAAGCAGGATGGGCCCTCTACTTCCTAAATAAAAGGCTTTTGAAACCCTGTGAAAACTAAACAAAGAGGATAGTTTAGATAAGGAGAGACACACATAGAGAAAAAGATTAGACAGACAGACAAAGTGGTACATATATTATGACAACTTTAAAACATTTTATCACCCCTAAAGGAAATTGGTTGTGTCATCTGCAAGCAGGGCTGTGTCATCTGCATAACGCAGATTGTTGATAGATCTTCCACCAATCTTGACGCCACATTTCTCCTCATAGAGCCCAGCCTCTCAGATGATCTGTTCTGCATATAGGTTGAAAAGGTATGGAGATAGGACGCATCCCTCGCCTATGCCCTTCCCAATTTTGAACCATGCAGTGTTCCCTTGCTCTGTTCTGACGACTGCCTCCTGGTCCAAGTATAGGTTTTGCATTAGCACGATCAAGTGTTCTGGGATTCCCATTCTTCTCAGAGTCAGCCACAGTTTGTTATGATCCACACAGTCAAATGCCTTTGCATAGTCAATGAAACACAGATATACCTCTGATAGTCCCTGCTTTCAGCTAAGATCCATCTAACATCAGCTACAATATCCCTAGTACCACAACCCTTTCTAAACCCAGCCTGGACTTCTGGCAGTTCTCTACTGATGTGCTATTCCAATCATTTTTTTATAATCTTCAGTAAAATCTTGCTTGCATGTGAAGTCAATAAGACTGATCTATAGTTTCCACACTCTGTTGGGTCACCTTTCTTTGGGATGGGAACAAATATAGATCTCTTCCAGTCAGTTGGCCAAGGACTGCAGCTTCCAATATGGATTGAGGCTCAATGTCAAGAAGACAAAGATTCTCACCACAGGGCCAACTGACAGCATCAGGATGGATGGTGAAGAGATTGAGATTGTTCACAGCTTTAGTTTGCTTGGCTCCACAGTCAACACTCTTGGCACCAGTATCCAGGAAATTAAAAGGTGTATTGCAATGGGAAAGTCTGCTGTTAGGGACCTCTCCAAAGTACTGAAGAGCAATGGTGTCTCTCTGGAGACTAAGGTGCATCTGATACAGGCCATGGTCTTTGAAATCACTTGTTATGCATCAGAGAGTTAGACAATGACTAAAGAGAATAGAAGGAGAATTGATGCCTTTGAGCTGTGGTGCTGGAGAAGAGTACTGAGAGTATCATGGACTGCTAGGAAAACAAACAGATTCATCCTCGAAATTGTTAAACCAGGTGGCTTCTTGGAGGCAAGGAGTCTGAGGCTCCATTTAACATACTTTGGACATGTTGTAAGGAGAGACCCGGTCCTTAGAGGAGGACATCATGCTTGGGAGGGTGGAGGGACAGTGCAGGAGGGGAAGGCCCTCTATGAGGTGGATTGATTCAGTGACTGGGGTAATTGGGATGGGAGTGTCAGAGACAGTGCGATTGGCACAAGACAGAGCAGAGTTTAGAGCTGTTGTACACAGGGTCGCTATGAGTCACAAGCGACTCGACGGCACATAACAACAACAAAGGAAATTGGTCGCTTCGCACCCTCACTGCCAGTCTCCTACAATAAAGCTCCTACTAGGAACCTCTGGAGGTAAATGCCTTTTTAAGAAGTGCTGCTAACCAAAGGCTGCTGGTCTCCAGTGGTCTGGATCCACTGGAAGATCTTCAGACCAAAGATGGATTGTCTCTTTCCACTGTGATTTACAGCCTGTGCAACCCAATGGCAGGGCCAAAGAGTTGCAACCAACTCATGAGAGCAGTGTGTTTGAGTTTAAAAGCTGCTACCAAAAGGTGGCATTACAGACAATATAATATTGAGGCATTAATCACAATGGTCTGAATCAGCCATCTGCTCTGGGAAAGAAGTATGTAGCACTCTGTGTCTGTAAAGATTTACAACCTTGGAAACACTATGGTGTCCTTTACTCTGTCCTACAGGTTCACTGTGTGTCAACCAACTTGAAAGCTTGAGTTTTAAAGTTTGTTTGGTTTTTAGCTGTTAATAAAAAAGGGAAAGGAACTGACACAAGCTTTACCATGTATGAACCTCAAAAGCGTCATGTCAGACACATCAGATCATATATTGTTGGTGTTAGGTGCTATGAGCATGAATCATAGAGACCCTACGAAGAGCATATCTGAACCCTCTCCTAATCATGCCATTCTCATCATCTCTGACACACTCAAAGCCTTTGCTGCAGTCATCGTGTCCATTCCTATGGCTGAGGGTCTTCCTCTCTATCACTAACCTTCCACCTTTCCTAGCATGATGACCCTCTCCAAGGAATAGCCTCTCGTAACAAATGCCCAAAGTATGTGAGACGAAGTTTTATCACCTTTGCCTCCAAAAAGCACTCTAGCTGCACCTTCTCTAAGGCGTGCCTGTTTGTTCTTTTGACAATGCATCGTATATTCAGCACTCTTCTCCAACACCACAGCTCAAAAGCATCAATTCTTTTTTTGCCATCCTTATTTCACTGTCCAGCTCTCAGTAGTATAGCAAGTGACTAAAAAGACCATAGCCTGAATCAGGTGCATCCTACTCTTCAAACTACCATCATTACTCCTCAGTCATTTGGAGAGGTTCCTGATGCAGACTTTCCCACTCCAGCATGTGTTTTGATGTTTTGTGGTTTGTTTTCTTTTTTTGGGGGGGGGGTGTTTCCAAAGTTTTTATATATTGTGTTTCACACTATTCTTCATTCACATTGTGTTTCATACAATCATCCTCATGCATTATGTTTTATAAAATTAATCACCATTGGACCTGGCCCATTATTACCCTATCTTTTTACCTGGATCCTTTTTCGTTTACTTCCCTCTCTCCCTTCACTCATCAAATCGTGCAACCCTGTGTTTTCACCCCTACCTCTCCTCATCCCTCTGCTCTTTCACCTCCCCCTCCTTGAGTTCCCATACATGTTTTACTAGTGTTTTGATTTCTTGACTGATAGTACCACAGGTGTTAACTGTGGGTCCAAGTAAGATGATATTGTTGAAGATTTCAATCTTTCCATCTACCATGATGTTGCCTCTTGATCCAGTGGTGAAAATTTATGTTTTTCTCACATGAAGAAGTAATCCATATTGAAGTCTGCAGTCTTTGATCTTTTGGAACAAGCACTTCAAGTCTTTATTACTGAGGGCGACGCAGCGCGAGGGCGAG